GGGGGAGATTTCTAGTAAAACAGAACCAATGATGTCGAGCCAAGAGCATTTTCATTCCTACATAAAATGGTAGATATAAGAATTCACAACGAATCTTGTCCTTCAAGTCGCAAGTTGCTTTCTATCACATCGTTTCAAACAAAGTTTTACTATAACATTCCTCTAAGAACCGATATGAAATTGATTCAATTGTGGAATGAATAGTCATTGTTTGGACTGACGTATAAACGCCATAATCTATACTTTTCTATATTTATATACTTAGATATAAGTTACTATAGAGATAGGTGGATAAATATTTTTCTTTAGTAAAACCCCATCGCTAATATTAATTTATCTAACATATCAATTAATATACAAACTATTAATTATTTATTTAACATATTAATTAATATATAAATTGTTAACTAATATATATATACACACAAAAAAAGAAAATTATACATTTTACCGGCTATTATTTTTGGGAACGGCTAAGAATATACGTTTCTCGTAAAAATTTAGTTTGAGACAAGATACATTGTCTGAAAATTTAAAATCGCTAATTATTTGAATTGTGAAAATAGTGAAATTGTGATTTAAAAGAAGTTCAGGTAGGCAGGTAAATAATGAAAATGAGAAGATAAAAGACACTATATATCTTGTGTTAAATAAGTTTTGACACTCACATAAGTCTCTAGTCTAAATGATAAATCCCGACAAGCTAAAGGGTTGTATTCAGCCCAAAGTGCATAGATTGGTTCCTTACCATAATTGATGTTTGTAAAATATATTCATTAAGTTGTAGATACTATTACTAGAATCGTATAAATGCTTTGAAACATGTCACGTCAACTAGGAAAGAGTTACTGTGGATGTTTTTAAACAAGATTGATTATCCTTCTGTAAAAATTAAAGTGAAAAAATAAAGACAATATAGCAAACAAAAGAGTAGCAATATTGCACCCCCTACCATTCTACCCACGTTTGTTAGATTAAGGTGAAAAATGGACGATTAAGGTATTGAAGGAGGGGGCAGATGTGCTCTCATAGAATTTTTCAGTGTAAATCTAACTTAAAAACTGGTCTTTTGATCACAAATTAATGGTCAAGGATCAAGAATATGACAATTTCCTACCTCCTCATTTGATATGTCTGAAGCTGTCTTGGACTTGGGGGCTCTTCCAAACAGGTTAGTCATTCAAAAAATTGACAACTTCAAATTAAAATAGTATGAAACGAAAACTGTCTTTTAGTAGCTTTTTTTTTCTTCATGAGATTTGGTAAATTATTTATAACCATCAACTAAAGCTCAATGCATCAGATTGATGCACCTCATGAAATAAGCTAAAATAGCAGAAACAGAAGAGATCCCCAGAACACTTCATACAAAATCTTAGTATTCCTTAAAGTATGTCATGCAATAAGGAAGATAAGATACTACACTACATCTCAAGAGGAGCTTATGTCTCAAAAGCAACAACCAGAACACCAAGCTTACATCACAAGTCTTTAACAAATAATAAAGACTATTACACTTCATTACGCTGCAACAAGGAAAACAGCTTTAAAAATGGTAAACCAGCTATAAGAGGCAAATATCTAAATAAACATGTTGAGCTCAGGCCTACTGAAAACATTGGTTTCATCATCTTCCAGAATGGGATAAGCAGCTACAAGTGCATCCTGAGCGCCAATGTACAGAGAATTGTAAATCTTCCAGTACACTTCCCTAACTTTCCTTGCTGGATGGAACAACCCCTGCAGACAATAGTTAAGGATTACGGCTGCTCCCAGTGCAACCCTCATTCCTTCAATGGCTTCCATAACTGCATTGATCACATGTGGAGAAGTCTCAAAAATGTTTGGCCAGACGTAGTTCAAAAGGTGGACAAGCGCATCTTCACATCCAAGACCAGCAACTCCAAGAGCCATGTGCTTCACAGCAGAGGCAGCAGTCTGCCTGTGTACAAGATCTCTGTCCATTAGAGCATCTTCCAATAATGGAGTCACAGCATATATATAGTCCTTGCCCATTTCTCCAATGTACTCGAAAAGGAAGGAGAGAGATTTCAAGACACCATTCTGAACATTAAGCTCAGGGACTCGATATTCGTTCATCAAGGCAGGCAAGACTGTAAAGGGAGAACAGGTTTCTGCAACAATAGCAATGGCGACAGTGGTGCAGACACGGTTCTGACGTTCCTGCACCTTAAGGTTGTTCAACAATGTTGCAAGCACATCCTGAGGCCCAATAGCTTTAGCAATGTACCCAAATGTGTTCACTGTTGCTCGACGGATACCTTTCTTGTGGGCTTTAAGCATCTCAAGAAGCTCAAAACAAATTCTCATCCACTCCCTTGCAGGAACAAATTCAGCTCCACGATCTGCAATTCGACCAACAAGGTCAATACAGTTCTCCTGAACTTTCTCGTGACGATTCTTCAAAATTGGGGTCAACCGAGGAAGCAAGTCCTTAATTGGAGGTGTCATCTTGGTCATACCAATAACATTCACAATAGCCTTGAGAGCCCCCAGTATAGATCCTAGAACTTCTGGGTATTCTTCTCCCAAGTACTCATACAAGACAACACCAAGATGGCCCATTAGTTGCTCTTCCCCACACTGCTTCATAACCACTGCAATTCTGGATATCAGATCTGCAGCTTGCTGTCTCACCTTTGCACTCTTGTTGTTCAGTCGCCATTTTATGGTACCACAAATCTGAGGAAGGTATGGTTTAACTCTTTGGCCAAGTGCATTTACAACAGCACCAAATCCGTTAAGCATCACGTTGGCATCGTCACTGGTCTGCTCTTGGAAGGCATAAAGGATTCCATCAATTAAAAGCTCTTCCAATCGAGCATCAATATCAGATGCACCAAGATTTGCAACCACTTTCTCAATGGTCTCCATGACCATTCTTCGGTATGGTTCACTTTCATCTTTGAGGTCTTCCACAATTCTCCCAACTATATCAGCTACACCAACTTTGTTCGCTATCTCCACAGTGGTTTCAACAAGCTGCTTGTAGTTTCTGCGGTCCAAAGCCATTCTTCTGACCCAGAAGTTCCTGAAGAACTCTGGAAGTATGTCTTGACGGATGTAATCCGGCTCCACACCTTCTGTACTCACGCACTGCTTCACCACTTTCAACACAATTTTCTTCATCTCCTCGTCAGGTGATTGAAACTCACGAATAAGAATAACCATAACTTCTTTGGTATAGTAGCTGGCATATACAGCATCCATAAGAGGAATGATGAAACCTATAGCCTTTAAGAAGGCAGCCAAAACCTTGCCACGATGTGATCTAATACCCTTCCATAAGGGCTTCAAAACTGAATCAAAACTCTCAATACCGTACGGCGCAGCAGCTTCAGCAAGAGCAGCCAGAGAAAGAGCTGTAATAGTTCTGACCTTCTGGTTCTCATCATTGAGACCATGTTCAATAATTTCCACCAAAGACCTCAAATGTGGAAGAACAGCACAACCAATGAGAATAGCGATCTGCTGAACAATCTTAATACCCGTATGACGAGCCTGCCAAGACTTCTTACTCTGACAAACTGCTTTCAGGAACGGCAGCAAAGCAGGAATACCGAGTGCAGACGCTACAACACTAAAAGCTCGAGCAGTTGTGTTCCTGACATACTCATCAATGTTGTCAATATCTGGACGCATGGCAGCAATCATAGTCGCCAAGCCAGCTGCCTTGCTAAGATTAGATATAATTTCCCTTCCTTCAACACGAGCATAATAATCTTCATCAATCAGAAGAGGTTCAATAACGACAAGAATCTTGTGCACATACGGGCGAACCAATTCATCCAATTTGTAGAGTACCCTATCAATAACTTTAACCAGCAAGTGCCTTTCTTGGTCTTCCAATGTGGGTTGCATGAGCAATGGCAGAATTCGATTAAATAAGGGCCCCGCACCAAATTCTCTGGCCTTATCAGTAAGCTGTCTCAAAGCAGTTTTCCTCTGAGGGGGTGTGCCATTTTTAACCTTGAGCAAAAGCTTCATAATCTTCCGCTCCTTCTGTTCATCGGGAGACAACTCCTCTTCATCTTCCTCGTTCAACAAGGAACCAAAATACTGGTAATCCTCA